GGGGCAGGTCTCGCCGCCCTGAAGCGAGGGCGGAGCCGCCGGGGTGGCACAGACCTGTCTGGGGAGGGGGTGGGGTGGGGGGTCCGGAAAAGACGCCCCCCAAGCAGGGGGCTCCGCTGGCAGCTGGGCCGGAATAGCTGAGATTTGTTGGAAACCGCTGTCAAAAGGCAAATATTTTCGGACCTGGCCAGAGAGCAGGAAGCTGATTGCGCATTTCGGGCCTGGTCCGAAGCCTGCCGAAATCTGCGGGTGACACGACTGACTTCAGATGAAAACCTTAATGAGTTGTTCCATAATGTATCGCATCCTTTAGTGCGTTACCCAAAAAATCCTGCCCTTCCAGGACGCGTTTCCCCACCGCAATCATTAGAACGGCACAATGGGAAAATGCCCCTTCTTTGCCGTTTCTTAGGACTGATCTATAAACCGTAAAAACTTCCCTCCGCCGTGTCTCGTGTGCCTCGACCCTTCTACAGAGAAGCAGCTACAAAATAATAATTAAAATTGTTTAGACCCAAGTTAAAAAAGGCATTGATCATTCGCTCTCTGGAAGGACAGAACAGGTCGCAGCCAGGCTGTCTCACAACTGTAACCCTTGCCAGCTATATTACAGGCCACCGCACGCCTCGCCAAAGAAAAATATCAAAGAAAGGGGAAAACCGAGTTCAAGGTTCTTAACGATTAATCACTTTTTAAAACAAATGGATATAACAGCACTAGACTCAACAGCACCAGGGGTCAAAAAGCTGGAGCGTGTTACTCGCACCGTCAGCACCGCAATGCAGAATTTGCAATTCAGAAACACTTTTAGGACCTCACAAATAGCCTCTTTGTAGCTCTTTTGAGAGACAAGAAACGCCTTACAACCATCGTAATCAAAGGATAAATATTTCTGTCCTTAGACAGGGGTTGCTTTGTAGGATACAAAATGGACACAAAATAACCTAAAGCCGTACACTTCGCTATGTAATAATAAATCCCTTCTCCTGGCCTGAACCGCCTTGGCCAGGTGAGAAAAAGACATGGATCTCAGAATCAGCCTACAAAATAAAACCTCTTCTTCCTTGCTTTAAAATGATTTCCCTGCTATAGCGCAGGGAAGTATTAATACCATTGCAGTAGAAGGAATATTATCAGTATAAAATAGAAAATGCGGGTTGAAGGGAGCCCAGGAGGTCACATCTAGCGTCACGGCCCGGAGAGGAGTTGCTTTCACGTCGTGTTCAGGCGTTCGCCTTCCTAGGAACGGGAAGGGTCTCTGACACGGGTGCAGCTTCCGCGTTAGATATGCAGCGGTTCAGCTCCGGTACGCAGCGTTTGGCTGCTACACGTGCATGGCGCCAGCCCCCTGCTACTTCTGTTTTCCACCTGCGCCGCGGCGTGTGCTGCTTAGACTTGGTCACAGCCGATTCCCCCAAGCCCTGTCACACTCGCATGCAGAGCACTGATCTGCTAGTGCTTCGCACTGGTTTAAACACCTGCTCACCTGTGAAGGGGTGAGACCTTGGCTCAGTGCCCCTTTGCTGCCCCAGAACTGGGCTACGAGAAGGTGGAAATCCTCCCTCTCCCGTTCCAGGTTGCGCTCTGCGAGGGCCTGGAGACCGTCTCTGCAGTAGCCCAGCTAGTCATCCCCTACCAGGCGAGAGGGAAGCAGCTCATTCCTGCTCCACCGAAAGCTTTTCCTTTCCTGACACATCCTTAAGGCAGGCAAATGTCCGAAATGTGCAGTGAGTCACAACAAAGTCGCGGCGAGTCACCGCAGCATTAAACAGAACAGCCCGCCCCATATTCCTGCTTACAGAGGAACTGCAACTGTTCATTTTATTATATTTTGGTGTTCTTGTTTTGACCAAAAGTGACCTGTTCATAGCACTTGTGGGCCAGAGCTTCGTTCTAACAACCATTCAAGAAACAGGGAGATTTTTATACGCTCCACCCTGCTTATTATACCAGGGTTTATTACATCACAGTCTGTTGCCGTGGTGATAACTATGATGTCACATATTCTCCACTGCAGATTTAAGTGGCTGCTGAAGACAACCTAGAGCTGCTCTTCCCCAGCAGTGAGAGAGCGCAGAGCCAAGGCAGTAAGGATGGAGCTGCTTTCTGGAGCACGAACCCCCTTGTTCCAGAGGAAAAGAGGGCTTGGAAAAAGCAACATGACCCAAGCTTTGCTGCTCTGGATACAATCCTCCTCCATCACACAGGTGTAATGCTACTGAAAGCAAGGGGCCCTGTTGCCTTCCCACTTCAGTTAGCTTTGCACCAACATATTTCCAGAGGCTTTAAGGGGTTAACTCCTGTTTTACAACAACACGGGAGAAGAACACAGCCTGTGGCCTTTTAAAAGTATTTATTTGCAAAGACTTGTTATCTATGGAGCTGAGAAGAGCAGATGCGTTGTGGGACCTGATGCTGATCTCACACCAGTTACTCCTGAGCTCCTCTGGGAGAACCCAGTGTCCCCCATGTATTTTCTGAAAGGGTTTGGTTCTCCTCTCTCTTATCCAGGAGTAACTCAGCCGGACAGATATTTGGCTGGGGTGATATGAGCCCGGCACCCGTTCCTGCCTGGGACAGGGGGTCGGACCTGATTCTCTATTTAGGTCCCTTCCGACCCTAAGCACTATGATACTGTGAAATCAGTGGAATTGGACTGGCACAAGACATGGGTGAGAGGCAGAGCAAAGCCCAACAGCTTCATAAATAACAGGCTGGATCCTTAGTGGGCATAAATCAGCATAATGCTACCAGAAGCAATGCTGCTAGATGGATGTTCACCACCTGAGCATCTGAGCCATTCAAAGCTCACAAAGCTAAGTCAAGACCGCATTTGGAACAAAACCTTGGTGCTAGTTGCACTTCCAGGCAGTGCTTGGAGGGGGGCAAAGGAAAAGCAGTTTTCTAAAAAGCATATTGTGAAATACTCTAGTACCAACAAGGTTTGGAGACTTGCCAGGATAATAACCTTCCAGAGGAAAGAGGGATGTGCAGATCCTGCAGCGCTAGCCGGATCGGGGCATCAGGGAAAGAGTTGTTGGGATAACCATGCTTGGACCTGTAGATAGGTGAACAGCTGAGGATGGAAATAGCTAAGGACAGCATGAGGCATGTGTTGAAAGAAGCCTGCCAGAAGCAGAATGGGCATTTTTGTACATAAAGAACAGAAGAAACCTGGTATACTATAAAAACATGACGGCTCAGTAACACCGAGACTAGACAGTGACCCAGGATCTGTGATAAAGCAAAGGGTTGGAAATCCCTCTCTTTTTCCTCTGCTTGAGAACCGCCCAGTTGATGGGGCTAAGACTGCTCTAAAGCATGCATGCTGTGTGCAGCGCTCACTCAGTGGTATTGAATTTCCCAATAAAAGCGGCATTTGGAAGCAGATTTGAATTAAGGATGGGTGCACAGGGAGGTTCAGTGAAAATTAAAAGCTTCTGTGCAGCTCAGGTACTTACACTATCCAAGTCCCTCAACACCTTTCATAATCTATACTCACAACGCCCCTGGGAACCAGCAAAGCTCTCTTGCAGCCTCTTATGAAAGGGAACTGAGGCATGGAGAAGCTGAACGACTTACTTAAGGTCGCAGAAAATCCTTGAACCCAGGTTTCCCAGCTCCAAGCCTAGGCTAGCCCCTGGCCCTCTCTTTGCCTTGCCCTGTCAACCACAAATCAGCAGCAGGATGTGCACCCGTGGCCCTTACACAAGCAGAACAGCCAGAGATTTCAGCGGGAGGCATTTTGCAAGAGTGAAGTCTGCAGCATCAGAGCCCAAGATGTTCCGGCTCAGAACAGCTCCCAGTGTAGGGCTGGTTTGATGGATGCTTTCACAAAGCCTCTTAGAAATCAGCATGCACCTTTTTAATGTTTTCCCTTGTGAAATTGGGAGTGGGAGGAGTTCTCTGTTGGCCAGCAGTTTGGAAACCAGAGCATAAGAATATCGCAGTAGTGAATGAAAACCTCAAACATGAAGCCGACTGCAAACCAAAAGCCAGGTTGAGACAGGATTGGTACAAATAACTTGCAGTAGTGCAGGATCAGTCCTCTGGAGAGTGAAACACAGGATGCTGCAGGGTTAGGAGCTTCTGCTCCCACTGAAGTCTGAGACCCCAAACACTTGAAGTCCCAGTTCTCAACTCTCTCTTGCACCTTTCATCAGGTCCAACTTATCTGCAAATGGCATCTGCCTCAAGAGCCGCAAGATCCATCACATCAACAATGAGCTGGTTATAAGTAATGTCATTTGCACATGTCGACATACAGAGAAATTAAAGCAGGCGTAGCAAAGCCGGATCTGCGCACTATCCAGATTCTCTCATTGTAGTTTTACTACGTCCATCGGTTTGATCCAGATCAAACAAATTCTCATCTTCCCCCCTGCAAGTGATTTGCTGGACTGTTTAGCACCTGATACTGCCTGGAGTTCAGTGTCTTTGCTGGGCCATGTAATCGGTTTCCTTATCGAGAAGGTTAAAAGAACTGAGGTCTTGTAGATGAAATCATGACTCTGTTCCAGGAAAACAACAGTTGGAAACACAACCTCATATTTGAAATGCACCACTGCTCAACGCATTCCATATGGACATGGTCATGCTGCAGACATCCCTCCATGTACTACAGGACAGGGGGAATTATTTCTTGTTTGAATCCTTCCAGAGCAAGGTAAATGATAAACCGAGGGGCATAGCACAACAAAGGTATGGTTATAATTAGATCCAGCATAGTTAAATCTGACATTCAGCTGTTTTATGCCAGCTGTGCCTTTATAAGGAAGACCATTTAGGCAACGGATTTCATGCCTTTTAACTGTTTACTTAATATGAATTCAATCCATGCCCATTTTTTTTTTTCAACTTGACTTTCTTTGCGTGCTTTTTATGCAGTTGCATAAGACACTGAAGAACTTGTAAGTGTTCTCACAGCTGTGCAAGGTTTATATTAATGCAGCCGTTACATAATTGTGACACAGAAATGTTATGTACACGTCTGCAGTTCTTGAGCATGGCTCCAAAAGGACATTTCAAAACTGAAATATCTATTCCTTTGCTCCTGGAAAAGACAGCAAAAGCTTGCTTTTGGGGGGTAATTTTGGGATGCTTTTTTTGTTTTTGGCCAGTTGTTACATTCCTTGCTTGAAATATTCATGATGGCATTTTGCTGACAGAATATTACTTATAATGAAGTAGCAAGTACAATCCCTAACCAGGAACAGGATCCCACAGTGCTGTATAAAATCAGTGACAGTCTCTGACCCCAGGAATTTAAAGCCTAGATAGACAAGGCAGAGAAAGGTAGGATTATTACTCTGTTTTTACAGATAGGGAACGGACACACAGAAGAATCAAAGGACTTGCCAAAGTCCCACAACAGGTCTCTGGAAGGGCCAGGACCTGAATGCAGAACTCCTGAGTCCTTGCCCGTCGCCTAATCAGCAGGACCCTGGTGCCTTACACCAGTGTCAGTCTGGAGTGACTTCACTGAAGCCAGGGGGTTATGCCAGATTCCTGCTGATGAGAGGCAAAATCCATCCGAGAGTGCCTGGCAGAGTCATCACGCTGTCTGCAGAGCAGGCTCACACCTGGATGCTGAAAGACTCCTTTTCAGTTCGCAGGAGGACTGGGGATGTCCTACAGGCTGATGGATTCCTCCTTTCTATTGTGCAAGGCCAGAGAGATGTCAAAACCGCAAGGCACGCACAAGCACCACGTTACGGGCAGTGCGAGCCCTCCACCGTACTCACATTTCCAGTGCTCTTGCAACAACAGATCCTGTGTGGTCCTCAACATCCTCCGGGCCCACTTCATGAAGGGTCAGGGTCTTTTGAACCTGCATGCTGAAGGCAGACCTTTTCTGCAGGCAGACACACGAGAGCCAGGCTAAGACGGGTGGGGAGAGATGCACTTTACTAAATGCAGAGTCCTGCTTTGCTTTCCCACAGAAACATGTGAAAAGAGGCTCTTCGTGCCGTGGACCCTAAGCAGTTTCCCCAAATAACCAGCCCCTGGGCAATGAATTTGCCCAGTCCCTGCCATCCTCTTTAAGAATAAGTCAGTTATAAAGTCAGCTTTGCACATGCAGCACTTCACCCTGCAGCCCACCTTGATGTACGATCCCCCAGCAAAGCCACAATTAGGTGGCTGCATGTAAAAACTTACATAGCGGCAATATAAGGATGGAGAGAACAAGGGTTAGGGACGGGACCTTGCTCCCACTGGTGTCAGGAGGGGTTTGCGCTTAGGTGGCTAGCTCACACACCTCTAGCCCCCTTCACGCTTTCATCTGCTCACTAGGGGAAAGATCCACCCCACTCCGCCAGGGCACTGGGGTTACAGCCTGAAAAAAGGCCAGGTCCATGTCAGAAGATCCTTAGTTTTCACATAAACCTGACTCTTCCTATCCACATGAAGCATGCGGCTGTGAAGCAGCCAAAGAGCTTTGGAAAGCCAAGGAAATAATGGGCTGCAAGGGAAGCTGATCTCCAGAGGAGACACAGAGAGACTGAGGGGCCGGCAGCAAGGTACGGAGGGACTTGTTAGGAACACTGAATCAGCAATACGACTTGCCAATGCCGGAGCCAGGCTCTGCCTTGAGCAGCAGCTTGTGGCCTCTTGCTGTTCGGTTTTAATTCATTGTGCTGTGATTCGTAATTGCTGGGGCTGGGTTCGGTCTGCAGGGAAAGCTTGATCCTGCTGTAAAAGGGGAAGGGGGCCCTTGTCCACTGGGACAGATGGAGAGGCCAAGGGGCGCCTGGCAGAGCTGCGTCTGCCTGGCAGAAGGGTCGGACCGCTCCGAGCCAGGTCTCTCCGGGTCTCTCTTTCCCCCCAGAACTGGCCCTTGGGGTTGGGGTTATTGTTTGCTCTACACACAAGAGATACTACAGCAAGATCATGCAAAGGTAAGCCCGTATTACCCAGGCAATCTCCCCTGCCCACCCCCTCCAGCTCGATTTTTGCCAGGTCACACTCCAGACGGTCGTTTATACGCAGCTAAGTAGCAAAGGAGGGAGGAAGGGAAAGGCAGCAGCAGAGCTCTGCAGGCTGGGGGTGCCTTCAAGCCTTTGCTGACTCATTTTTGCACCATGTGGTTTGCTAGGCTGGTCCCGAGGCGCCTGGGTCCCCGGTGCAGAAAACAGACTTGGCCCTCCACCCTGGTGCCCTGCCCCCACCAGCTTCCTGGCTACTCCCACCCATGTCTTGGTACTGCAGATGCTGCTGGCCCTGGGGCGCTGCCCCAACCCTCCCGACGGCCTTTCCCCTGCTAAGCCCTGCACAGAGCCCTTCTCTGCCGCAAGAGGCAAGCCTGTGGTGGTGGCAGATGGGCTGTGCCCCAACAGTTGTGGTAACTGTTTCTCAGTAATCCGCAGCATCCTCCAGTTACAGTTGCCGTCTCCTTTCTACATCTCATGTCGCTGGCTCTATAATCCTGCCCCGACCTCCTACCCATGGATCTCTCGCGCTAGCCCAAGGGTCTCCACGCCACACCACTACCACCGGCTGGACTGGTAGCATCTCTACCTTTC